TCCTCTCCCAATAGCGCTCTGCCTTTGTCTCTCTCAAAATTAAATAGAAGCATTAAAAAAAAAAAAAAAAAAAGAGTAGGACCCTTAAGTTCCTGAGTCATCTAATAGGCCTTGAGGGAGAAGTTTTTTTTAGAGAAATATCTTAAACAACGAGCTTTAGATATTTTCTAAGCTCTATTTAAGAAATTAAAAAAATTAAAGTATATAAATAAGTCATCCTAGAGTCCTTAACTGGTCTACATACTTACAGATCAAAAATTTATTTGGTGTAATATTTGGGTCATGCTAATCACCTAGAATATACTGGAATCTTTCTGGATATTTAACAATAGATTTGCATATGACTACTGCTACCTACCATATAATTCTGGGTTTTAAGTTGCTTTTAGAGTGTATTCTGGAAGTACACTGTAAAGGAGGGCTAAAAATTAATTGTTGGGAATTGGCCTTTCTTGGAATTAAAATTCCCTATCACATGAAAAAAATGTAAATTCCTTTTTTCCCACCCAGAATAAAGTAGGTTCATGAATATTGTGATTAACAACTATCTGATGGCTGGGACATTTAATTTTATGAAATTCATGAGATTTTTTTGCCTATTACATCAGTTACATATAAGAAATACTGTATATACTAACTATGCGTAAAATGCTGTATTGTCTAACTTTATATGTACTATTGAGAAATTCTATTAATCTCTGGCCTTACATTTTTCATATGTAAAGCGGGGACTAGTCCAGCTGGTCCCCAAAGTTATTCCTAGTGCTAACATTTGAACTTTTTTTCTTGTTTGCCTTTTGTGTACGTGTAAGTGTGAGGTGTAAGTTAGTCTATGACATTCAAATAAAATGTTCTGTCTCCACCACTATCATGAGAAAGGAATAAAAAATTTTTTCTTTCCAAACTACATCTGGAAATATGGTTTGTACTTTTTATTTTTTAAATGTTTGTTTATTTATTTATTATTGAGAGAGAGAGAGAATTCTTATGCTGTCAATGCAGAGCCTGATGCGGGGCTTGATCGTAGGAACTATGAGATCCTGACCTGAGCTGAAATCAAGAGCCGGAAGCTTAATGGGCTGGCCACTCATATGCTCCTGGTTTGTACTTTTTAAAGCCTCAAAAGCCAAGAGTAAACAAAATGAGTATGTGTTCCTTCTAAGCAATGCCTTCTTTTCTGTACTTGATTGGCTTCACAGTCCCTGTGCAGGTAGTGGCTCACCACAGGAATGCTCTTGCTGGTAACAGCCAAATAAGAAGGTCAACTGGCTGGCAGGTGCTTACCAGCTACAAACAGGGGTGGCACAGCTCCCAGGGCCAACATCAAAGAGGAGGCAGAATTATCCTCTGCTTAGCCATTCTCTTTCAGGTTTTCACAAATACCTAGTGTGGGATTCACCACGACAGGCCCATTCATGCTGCTACCCCCACCTCTCACAAGCATGATGTAAATATACTCATTTAGGAGGCCAGGAATCATCCACCATCTCGATGTATGTTCCAGAAGTTGGCCTCTGTTCAGTGGCATCCTCACACATCTCCCTCCACCCTACTGGCATTCATACAGTCTCAAAGCAGATCTAGCACGTAACTCACACCTGGGCTACACACGGGCCTGGTCTCCATGCTCTCCTCTTTCTCACTGCCGCAGTTGGACAAAGGCTTCAGGGGGAGCTGCAGAAACCACGACTGTTTACTCCCCTACTTCACTCAAAGCCTTGACTTGACTGCCAGTACCGTCAGGGCTTCAAGAAGTTCACTGTCAACACTCTCCTTTTGAACTAAGTCACTAAAAGGATCTCAAGGCTAAGGGTCGTACCAGGTACAAACAGAGGCGCCACTTCCTAACACAGCTTGTACTGCCTGGTACCGGACGTTTCCTGTGCAGACCGTTGTAGCTCATTCCTTATAGAGGCAAACCCCACTTCGCTCCCAGTATCTGACATTGTTAAAACAAAATCTCTCCGTACTTTCCCAGTATTTAGTAAATTCATGCTGGGGGAGAATTGGCAGACATGTTTGAGGCACGTGACAGCAACACAGCTTATTTCATTCAGTATATACAGGTATTTATTATGCACCCACTACAGACCTGGAACTGTCTAAGTGCTGGAGCTACAGCAAGAAAACTCTTACCCCTGTCTCACAGAGCTTGTCAGAACAAGAGGGAATGGGGCTCAGAACCTTTCAAATGGAGCCTTAATTGGGCCATTTGAAAATAAATTAATCAATGTGAAAAGTAATCAATTATATTAAGAATGGTTGGATGAACCCCAGGGATAGATTTTACTGATGGAAGGAAAGTTCCAGTGCAACCCCAATTCTTGAATCTAATCTAGAATTGGTAACTAGGAAACCAAATCCCAGCCAAGTTTTCTTAACCTTTAATTTACTCATAAAAAACAACAACAACAACAACAACAAACCTTACTTCTAAGACTAGAGATAGAAGGGAAAATGTTTTCATCTTATTGAGATTTAACTGACATACACCATTTTATACAGATGGCTGCAGAGAACAATAAATAGTTTTACACATAAGTATCAACATTGATCACAGAACACTTCTGTTCTATCACTTTTTTGCAACTGTAAGAATTCACAGAAACAATTCCCGCTCATTGTGTCCTTAACTAGACTTCCTTCAAGTCATCATAGAGTATCCACATTCTACAATCTAAGTTACTAAGGTTGTTTATTTTATATATCACTTCACATATATTTTTATGCAGTGCCAAGGATCTAAACATTGTTTTGTTCTGGGAGAAAGGGAAATTCCATGGTTTGTTGAACCCACGAAGTTTTTAGTACATTTCTGCTCTAGAATCCTTTAAATATATATTGTGTTTTATAATTCCAGTAGATGTATTTGAAGTTAATACAGAAAGCTTACATTTCCTCACCATTCTGGTGTAACTTAATTCTGAGTGATTCCATGAACAAAATAGCAGTTGCTCTAGAAGCTGGACTTCAACAATTTTTTTCGTCATCTGATTCCAGGTGCAGTACAGGGGCATTATACAAAACTGAAAAGCACAATGAAAATGAAATCTCCGTAATTCTATTGATGAAGTTTTGGAGTAATGGCGGGGGGGGGGGGGGGGGGGGGGGGGGGGGGGGGGGGGCGGGCGGTGGTTCGTGGCATACAGAGCCAAGGGCCAAGAAAGGACTCTGGAAGACGCCTTTGGTGCAAAACAGTGAATTTATTAAAGCACAGGGACAGGATCCATGGGCAGGGAGAGCTGCATTGTAAGTGTGGGGGGTGGCCGCTTTATGGAGTCTGGGGAGATAAAGTCAAGAGGTAGTTTGCTAAAGACTTTACTGGAGGCCTAGCTATTGTCAAGCTAAGGTTGTTTCCCTCAGCAAGGTGTACCAAGGAGACAGTAGGGAGTTCCTGGAGATTAGGCTGTTGATGGGATTAATTTTTTCTGGGAAACTGGTGGAGACTCTTACCAGTTTAACCATTAAGTTTTTTGTCCTTTCTTGTTTTGGGGTAGCCAGAAGTGTCCAAGGAAGATCACACATGTCCCACCTGGAGCAGGGGACTGGGGGTGGGGGTGGGGGCGGCAGTTGCTTGTTTGTGTTTTGCCCTGGCCTGCCTCACACTCCCTCATCACTATCACCAGAGTTAATTCTGGAATATTTTCAACTAATTCCTCTAGGAGAATGCCAAAAGTCAAATACTTTTTTAGAGTCTGTTTTTTTAACTTACAAAAATATTGTGTAGCTTCTGGCGTGGATTTTTAACTGCTTGCTGCATAGACATTCATACCAAATAAAGTCACCTATCAAAAATGTCTTAAACTTTTGCTAGGCACTTAGGATTTATTTATTTATTTTTCCAAAATTATACATCTTTGGTCACAGTTCTGATGATTTCTTTGGCATGAACCCTAAATGGAACTGGTGGTTTAAATGTCGTGTCCATTTGAAAACTTACCATATGGACAAGTTAAATTAAAAGCCAGAAGTCTGAGGGTGTTGGTTCCCGGATAGTTTTACTCACGCTGGTTGTCATTTATCTTTGTTTGCCAGCTAATAGGAAGAAAACGTCACCTTCTTTTGTGAACTCATAACAAAGGTCGTGTTACTTTTCCTCCTACTAGTCATACAGGTTTAATCACAACTCTACAAATAGATCTGGCTCATTTCAGTTTTCCACTTGACTTTCCAATGAGAGATTGTTCCACCAGAAAAGCTCTCTCTCTTAACAATTCCTCGCATCCCATCAATAACGGTTTTAAATACTTATAGGAGACTGGCAATTAATATTCTTTATCCTTACCTTTTTCGTGCATGCTCTTTCCTCTTCAGTAAAACATTTAGTTGTTCAAGGGCAAGGTCCCAGAGAGGTGAGACCCAATTTGCTAATGGCCCGGTGTCGTTTAATAATTCATCTCCCTTCCTTTCCTTTAGGGGGTGGGAGTGCAGTGGCCAAACCTTTATTATGAAATCTAGCAGGCCTTGTGAAGATCCAAGGGCAGATGCTGAGCCCTGGAAATCACAAGTATTGTCCCTAAATATGCCCGATTTCTGCCAACTCTTGAAACAAGGGCCCAGGGGGGCCCGGGCAGTCCCGAGTGCCTCAGGACACAACTGGAGCCCCGAGGGGTGCTGGCCCCACGACGACCCGCTGGCGGGGCCCTGGGTTTGTATGTTCAGGGCGAGGCGCCTTTCCCTCAAAGCGTTACTCTCCGGAAAAGCGACAAAAATGACCCTGCCAGCTCCGCTTTCCTTCCCACCCCTCCTTATCCGGCGGTGAGCAGGCCGAGACCCACAAACCTCCGGGGCCTCGCGTAGGTGCGCAAGCGGGGTCGCCGCAGGGCGGCGGGGCGCCGGAGGCAGAGGACGCAGCCGCCCACCCACCCGGCGGCGCTACAATAGCAAGACCACGCCCAATCCCGGAAGCCTAACGGACTCCGCACCCAGGCCCCGCTTCCAGTCGCCGGCTGGCCCCGCCCACTCCGGAAAGTTTTGTCACTTCCGCCCAAGCCCCGCCCAGGCCACGCCCCTGGCCTGGGCGCCTGACACCTGGGTTCCAGGGGGATTGTTGCGTCTGAGTACTGAAGTCGGGAAGGTTTTAGCCCAGCCGGCTCTGCTGTTCCCGCTGGTCTCCCGGAAGATGACGGCGTCCTGCTCGCTGTGTCCCACAGGTCCTCGCCGCCCCGAGAGGCGCTCTTCTTTATCGAACTGCTTTGTAATACTTTTGGTGGCCCCAGTGCTACTGCTACCCATACCCTCCGGTAAGAACCTGGAGAGGGTGTGCGCTCAGGCGCTGAGCCTTAGCGGGTGTGAGAGCGGGCCCATCGGACCTAGGGCCCCAGAGCTTGCTTTGGTGGGTCGGGGGCGCCCCTGGTCGTGCTGGGGCGGGTGGGGAAGGGTGCCGAAGGTGAAGACTTGTGATGCGTTGGAGCGAGGCTTGCGGGTGATGGGTGCGGCTGGTGGTTTCCCAGGGCGGATCTGTGACCCCCGCGATAGCTTGCAGTGTGCTTCTGGGCCTGAGCACTTGTCGACATGGAGTTCAAGGCGGCAGTTTGGTCTCCCTGCTCGGTGCGTGCAGCTGTTGCCAGGATCCGCGCTGTGCCTGTGGGGAGATTTGCCCTGTGTTTCTTGGACGGCTTATGCCTTGGGAAGAGTGGTGTGGTTTGTGCCCCGGTGTAGTTGTATCCTGAGGCACTGAGGACCCCAGGCTGGGTGTCACCGGGTGCATGCTTTACGGAAGTGACTAGGCCTATGGTGTCGAGTGTGGGGTATGGTGTCCAAGTGTGGGGTAAGGAAGCTCGCTGCTTGGTTTACGTGGGGGCTGGGGAGCCCCTCAGTGTCTGCAAGCTTGGCTGAGAACCGCTCTGAGTGCAAAAATGCTGTGGGTCCCTGGGGCTAAGAGGGTTTGGAAAGGCCACACCTTGCTTTTGTAACAGTCTCCTTGTTGTCCAAGATCATATTGGTGTTGGTTGGCAGGCTGTTCCTTTTTCAGGTTTTTTTTTTTTCGGACTTAGAATCATCTTCCTGTTCCTGTCCAATAGACATTTCCCAATTCCATTAGCTAATGGCTCTTTGGCATTAATTTCCTTTTTTTTTTCCATTAGGATGGGTCATATTTGAGGGGAATTCAGAATTATTCTTTTTTATTTTATTTATTTATTTTGAGACAGAGAGAGAGTGAGAAAGCATGTGCTCTCAGGCAGGAGAAGAGCAGAGAAGAGGGAGAGAGAATCCCAAGCAGGCTCCCCACGGTGCAGCACCATATGCAGGGCTTCAGATTCTATGTCTCCCTCTCTCTCTGCCCCTTCCCCACTCGCACTCTGAAAAATGAATAAATCTCTCTCTGAAAAATGAATAAATGTTAAAAAATAAACAAAAAAGAATGCTTATTGTATAACACTTAACATTCAAACGACAAACATTTTCAGTATTTGGTATGTTTCGTTCTGTCTATATGTGCACCTGTGTTTCTCTGCCCAAGTGATTTCTAGGATCCTATTAGGTATACAGTATATATGCTGCATTCTTTCCTTAATAGCATTCATTCAACAAATGTTTGCCTTGTGTGCCAGGTTCTGTGGTGGTCCTCAGGATACACTGGTGAGCAGTAACAAAACTGCCCCGTTTTCATGATCCTAATTTCACTATTGATCTGCTTGCACTCATACCAGTATAAGCAGTGACTGTTTTACTCCCCGTGAGAACCCCAGTGCCATGCACACAGCAGCAGTCAAGAAATAGTTGCTAAAATGTCTTGGGAGCGGCAGACAGCAAGCACGCTACTTAATAAATAGGTTCTAACCCCGGAGAGGTGCCCTGGAGGAAAGGAGCTTGGTTCTCTGACAGCATTTAACAACAGGAGGCAGGGGACATTTTTCTTGTGAAACAGGCTAACTCTGCCACTGGGGCGCTTCTGCCCTTGCTGTTCCCTTAGACTTGAGCATCGTCTCCCAGCCCCTTGTATGTGCGGCTCCTTCTTGTCCTTCACACTCAGTTGAGATGTTACCCCCTCAGAAGGCCCCTCTCACCACCCTGTCTCAGGTTGACCCACACACTCCACCTCAAATCGCCCCTGACCGGAAGTCACTCTTGCAAAACTGTTTTCTGCTCTCCCCGCTACACTGCAAAGAGCTCCTCTGTCTTGTCACACTTGTGGTTCCAGATGCCCATTTTTTGCCTCAGTATCAACACTCTTGTATAACCATTAAGTACCAGAAAACTAAATAAAATATTCAGGCGAGGCTGACGGTACAGGAGGAAGGTTCTTTAAAGAATCATGCTTAGGACGGCCTGTGTGAGGCGCCTGAGCTAAGGCAGGGGCAGCTGTCAGAGGGGCTGTGTCTCCTACTGTTTATGGAGAGTCTGCAGGGCTCCCAATAGTCTTGCTGGCTGCTGGTCATCGAACAGTTCATTTCTGTGTGTGGGGAGTAGAGCGGAGAGGGGCCAGTGGTGGTAATAAGAAAACAAAAAAATTTTTAAAAAGCATCAAGGTTAGATTAGCCTTAGAACTGAAAGTGGAAGGAGACTGTTATTTGGAGGAGAGGAAAAGAGAACAAATGAAATTAATGGGGTACAACATGGAAGGGAATAAAACGTAGAAACGAAACATAGGAAAATCAAGGCCAAGTTTAAGGTTCAAAGGTAAAAAATCATGGGGCACCTGGGTGGCTTAGTCACTTGAGCATTCAACTTGGGCTCAGGTCATGATCTTGAGATTCATGAGTTTGATCCTCATGTCAGGCTCTGGGCTGACAGCTTGGAGCCTGGAGCCTGCTTTGGAATTCTGTGTCTACTTCTCTCTCTCTGTTCCTACCCCACATACACTCTGTCTCTCTCTCTCTCTCTCTCAAAAATAGAGATTAAGAAAAAATTTTTTTAAGAAAAGGTAAAATCAGGACAGATATGAAATTAGGGAAAGTACAAATGAGACGTCATTATGTTGGGAGGGAAACACAGGACGTGAGTACACAGTTCAGTTTTGAAACATCTCATGCTCTCAGGAGGTTTGTAGGCAGATAGCGTTGTGCCCAGAGGCCTGTCACCTCAGAGGTGGTCAGTTGCCAGCTGCACGAGATGGCAGAAGGGAACATTTGTCTAGTTTCAAGACCAGACTCATTCTTCCCCAAGGGGTCTGCTTTTTTTTTTTTTTGGATAAAACCCACTGTGTCCTGTTGTGGGGGGTGTCGTTAGGTCTTTTATTTCCCTCTTACTATAGAAGCCAAGATCCATATGTGCTTACATGGTAGTTTCTTAGTTTCCTTACTCTACATGTTAAAAAACCCAGAGAACAGTCCTTATCTGGTCAGTTGCTAGGGTACAGAAAGGACACTGGGAGACAGGCGACAGAAGAAATGATGTGGCCAGATCTTTTTCCAGTGCTTGAAGCTTAAAGATGATGAGCTTCAATATCAGATGCCTGAGAGCATGGTCCTCCCCCTGGTGCTGTGTTTGGCAGCAGTGGTCCCTTGAGTGCCGTATTGTTTTGGTTCACAACTCTGAGGGGCACAGTGTGCTTGGTGTTATGGCTGCATGGATGAATGGAGTCAGCCATGGGGGATGAATGGAGTAGCCATGGGAACTGTTAAACACAAAAACATGTGATAGTGACTTGAGAGGTCCGTGCAGAGGACAGTCCCAGCGAAGGGGCCAGGGCCCTGCCCCCCGGGGGAAGCGGAAGATGCTTGCTGGAGAAACAGTTGAGCGGACTGAGTGTAAGAAGACAAGAGTTGAGCAGGGCTTGCAGTTGAGCAGGTAGGAAGGGGGTTCAGAGCAGAGGGAACAGTGTGATCAGAGGCTCAAAGATGTGACACGGCTTAGGGCATTCACGGACTGTGGAGCCACCCGGTGCGGCAGCAGGAGCACTCAGAGGCGAGAGAGAGGCAGAGGACTAGATCACAGAGCACATCGCTGTAAAGAGCAACGTGATAGTCAGGAATGACCAGTCACCATCATTAAAAATCAGATAGGATTTAGTATCTGTCCTTTGACGGTTCCTTGAGTCCTCTTGTTTGACTTGGCACATTGCAAATCTAAACCAAGTTTACTTTAATTTCTCTAGACTCAGTAGAAGATCATTTCTTGAGGACAGTATTGTAGAGTATGCTGGTGTAAGCGTGGGAGGGTTTCAGACGAGTGTGGTGGGAAGCAGTGTCAGTAGCAGAGCCAGGCTGCCTGGCTAAAGGTGGTGAGATAGGTAAGGAGGCCTATTCAATAACGCTAGTAGCAATGTAGATAAGAAATGATGATGATTTGAACTCGAAGGAAAGGCAGAATAAGAGATATGGAACAGGCATTTCCGTTTTAAAGACCATCTATATTTAAGTCAACAACAAAAAAAATCCAAATAATCTAGTTAAAAGTAGAAGGCATGAATGGACATTTCTATAAGAAGATAGACAGATGGCCAAGAGACACATGAAAAGGTGCTCAACATCACCAGTCATCAGGGAAATGCAAATCAAAATCACAATGAGATATCACCTCATACTTCTCGGAATGGCCAATATCAAAAACACAAAGTTGTGGATAAAAAGTCCTCCTTGTCCACTACCGGTGGGAATTCAAACTGGTGCAGCCACTGTGGAAAACATACAGAGAACATTAAAAATAGAATTACTATATGATCCAGTAACTCCACTACTCGGTATTTACCCTAAGAATGTGAAAACACTAATTTGATGAGATACATGCACCCCTATGTTTATTGCAGCATTACTTACAATAGTTCAAATATGAAGCAACCCAAGGATGGGTTGATAGGATGAATGGATAAAGAAGGGGTGATATATTTACGCAATAGAATATTACTTAGTCACGAAAAGAATGGAATCTTGCCATTTGCAGCAAGAGGGTATAATGCTAAGTGAAATAAGTCAGTGAGAGAAAGACAAATACTCTATGATTTCACTCATTTATTGAATTTAAGAAACAAAACAAATGAACAAAGAAAAAAGAGATAAACTAAGAAACAGACTCTTAAATATTGAGAAGAAATGTGGTATTAGCGAGTAGGCGGTTGGGAGATAAACAAAATAGTTGAAAGGGATAAAGAGTACGTTTATCGTGATGATCACTGAGTAATGTATATTGCACACCTGAAAACAAATAACACTCCTTGAAATTGAATTTGAAAAATTTAAAACCCATCTATTTTGTTTGCTGGGCATGTATAAGTATGAAAAGAATCAAGGGACCACACTTTGGCTTCAAAATATTATTGGAGATAGCGTGACATTTCCAAGTGGAACATGTGGGTAGGCCATTGAATATATACATTTGGCACCCTGGCTTGAGGTTGAGAATGGGGACCAGGATGTGGGAGGCAGCTCTTCTCAGCAATAATAAGGTCATGGGAGTATACATACCCACCCTGAGGGGTCTGCAGAATGAAGTAACAAGAATTCCTAAAGCAAGCCATGAGGAATATCACATTATCCAATCAAGCAGAGAGGGAAGGGTAGCCAGAAGGTTAAAAAAAAAAAAAATCAGTGTTCTGAGCAAGAGAAGAAACTATATTGCAAAACAGTGTAATATTGGCCTCAATTATTATAGTGTATAAAGCCTGCAAACTAAGTTGTAAGCTTTGCACATTTTTGAAAGTGTGTCTTATAATTATACATGTTAGGAGGAAGAAATACTTCAAATTAGTTGAATGGATAAACCATCCAATGGACATTTCTTTTTCCATACAGATCACTGTATGTGGAAGTCATATTTGGAATTCTAAAGTCCTTATCTGCTTTCAAGATAGTTACTGAAATAGAATGCAGAAAACAAGGAATACTGCATAATTTAATCATAGGAATGCTGTTATTTGATTTATTTCTTGATGGTTCCAGGATTTCTAATGACGTTATGTATCTGTATCTAGAATGGAGTTGTGTTAGCATTTCTAGCTTTTTCCCCTCCATTGTAAAATGACTCAGGGTATTCATTTTACTGGAAATGTAATGTTATTAATAAAATTCAACTGTTTTAATCCTCTTTTTAGTGCTCTGATTGCTATGACTTTGTGTTTTTTGCTTTTGTTCTGATTTGGGCCATTGATTAAAGGACATTCACATATCTTGGCCAACATAGTGGAAATGTGGAAAACATATTGCTAGTAGGTGGATTTGAGGACATGATATAAAGGAAATGTTGGACAGTGTTTATAGATATAATTTTAGAATTGATATGGTGTGAAAGGAGAGTAATATTTCACTTGAGTAGAGTTCTCTTGACCAGTCTCTTAATCTGAGGTAAGACCGAGATCCAGGGAGTAAGAAGGAAAAGTATCCTCAGGCATCAAAGTAGATCTATCTCCTTCTTCTTAGGTCCTCACCCTTATAGGAGAGGCCTCTGTGTCCTTTTAGCCCTTAAGCACTTTACTGAATATGTCCGGTCATATTATTTTACATAATTGTTCTGACAGATCTGTTTGGTTTTCAAGCTCATGGTTAATTGAAAGGGAAGAAGAATTGCCAAGGTAGAAATGACACTATTCTAGGGAGGAAAAAAAAAAACACCTTCCTTCGTCCCCTAAAAAATCTAAAAGCATAGCAGTATCGTAGCACTCCTGAACATGTGTATTGGATCAATAGCCCAGACAGCTACATTCAGGGAGCTTCTGAAGGAATGTGTGATCCATTGATCAGTGGAGGAAGATGAAATTATACAAAAGCAACATTTTTTTCACATACTACTATTCAGACTAGTCAATTTTGAGTAGCGCCTGGCTGGCTCAGTCAGAAGGGCCTGTGACTCTTGATCTTGGGGTCATGAGTTTGAGCCCCACATTAAGTGTAGAGATTTCATAAATAAATAAACTTAAAAAAAAGTAATTCAGAATAGTAAATTTTGATATTTAAATGGAATCCATTCACTTATAAAATGCTCAGTTCACTAATATGAAACAAGAAATGAAGTCTTGTGTTTTGAAAGACTTTAGTGCATATTTATTTTGACCTACGAAATTACATAATGCTTATTTAATAATCGCTTGTTACTTTAGCATTTCTTGAGCACTCACCACTGAGTGCAGTAATAGAAAAAGAAGACATATGATCCCTGACCTGTAGGAATTTGCCTTCTGAGAGAAGACTAAGTCTGAAGTGGCAAGTTATTATTAGTTTGTTTCAGGCTGTGGAAGAGCATTCAGAGCTACATATACTATAGAAGGCCTTCTTAAAGGAAGGATGAGTTTTGGTGGGTTTTTTTTTTTTTTAAGTTTATTTTATTTCTGACAGAGACAGCGTGAGCTGGGGAGGGGCAGAGAGAGAGAGAGAGAGAGGAAAAGAGAGAATCCCAAGCAGGCTCAGGGCCTAATCTCACAAAACCGTGAGATCATGACCTGAGCTGAAACCAAGAGCCCGACCCTTAACTGACTGAGCTACCCAGGCACCGTGAGGACAGGTGGGTTTTGAAATGAATTTAGAAAAAGATGGGGAAGGATGCTTGTTTACATATGTCATTAGGATGAAACCAGTAATTTTGTTTCTTCAACTTATTGTTGAAAGAAAATTTGTCCTATTCCCCAACAAATCAAAACCTAGTAGGATATTATTTTTATTTAAAATGAGCAAGGCACATCCTCTACTACCTACTCTCACAACTGGGTAAAGGAATAGAAGAATCATTTAAAATCTTGGATTTTTAAAATTTATTCTGTATTACCTTCCTGCTGGCAGACCACAGTCCCTGGTTGGTAAAAGAGAGACAATACTTCATTTTCATGTTTTCATTCTCTTATCCCTAGATGCCTGTGATGCTCCAAATTACATCTCTATGAGGCCAACTGATTTTAAAAATACTTATAATCCTGGGGAAACAGTACAATTTCAGTGTCGCCTAGGATACAAGCGTATTACACCTTTTCTTCCCATGTCTTCTGTTTGTCACGCTAATAACACATGGACACCTCTCCAGGAGGCTTGTACAAGTAAGTGTACAGATTTTTTTTTTATTGTTGTAGAGATTTCACACATTTGAGATTGCATATTCCACTAATGCATGATTATTTTTTCATGTGAATGTAGGTTTTTGATAGCAATGTAGTTTTTCAGTCTTTGAAAAAATCCTCACGGAATCTTTTTCTTGGCAATTGGTTACCTGGCTAAATGTGAATCTTAAGTTTGGCCTTATAATAGTCAAAAATAGAAAATAGTCTCATGAATTCAGATGAGCAATGCAGAATTTTTGTTTCATTTTGAAATTTGACATGAAACAACAAATTTGAAAATTTTCTTTTAGAAAAATCATGTACACATCCAGGAGATCCCACAAATGGCATTGTAATCAGCATAAATGGAAGTTTTCTCTTGGGATCACAGATTGAATATGCTTGTAATGAGGGGTAAGTAAGTTGTTCCTTGGAGGAAATAATATAAATATTTCTAATTCCGTTTTTGTTTTGCTTCTCTTCTTAAGCATTCCCATAAAGTTGATTGCATTTTCTTCCCATGTAACAAGTTGTACTTACCACCTAACAAGGCTTGGGCTTTTTATGGAAACTTGAAAGGATGTGTAATTAGTAGGAAGAAATTTAAATTGAAGGAAAGCAAAATTCTATAACATTTACCATATTTACTATGAGCCTATTGTGGGCATTAACAATGCTGACTTCATTTTTTACAAGTGCACCCTATTTAAAATGACCAAGCCTCAGTTGAAGTTGCACTTACAGAAATGAGAGACCAAATTGCCAACTGAAGATATTCTTGTATTGAGACCAGACCAGAATTCACCGGATTAACTCAATGTTGATCAACGTCTATTTGTTAGAATTTTGTGATTGTTAGAAACGTTAAGTATCTCAAAAAAAGGTATGGAACACTTAAGAACAACAGCTTTTGAGGTGTCTGGGTGGCTCATTCAGTTTAGCGTTCAACTTCAGCTCAGGTCATGATCTAAAGGCTTATGAGTTCAAGCCCCACATCAGGCTCTGTGCTGACAGCTCAGAGCCTGGAGCCTGCTTCGGATTCTGTGTCTCCCTCTCTTTCTGCCCCTCCCCCACTCACACTCTGTCTGTCTCTCTCTCCTTCAAAAATAAATAAACATAAAAATATTTTTTAAAAAAAGAGTAACAGCCTTTGTTCTATAAGGGTTCCTTTAATAGTATATATTGGGGATAGTGGCATTTATGAAAAATGTTCACTTAGAAGGTAATACAATATGGAAATGCATCTGATGTTTTTATATTGACCTTTATCCTGCTACTTTGCTGAATTTATTTATTAGTGCTACTAACGCTTGTTTTTCTCGGGTGGAATCTTTAGGGTTTTCTATAGATACGATCACATCATCTGCAAACAGATAATTTTACTTCTTCCTTTCCAGTTTGGATATCTTTTATCTCTTTTTCTTGCCTAATTGCTGTGGCTAGAACTTCCAGTACTACGTTGATTAGAAATGGTAAAAACAAGCATCCTTGACTTGTTCTTGATCATAAAGGAAAAGTTTTCAGCTTTTCGCCAGTGAGTATAATATTTGCTGTGGGTTTTTCATGAATGGCTTTTGTTATCTTAAGATAGTTTTCTTGTCTTCCTAGTTCATTGAGTATGTTTACCATGAAAGAGTGTTGAATTTTGTCAAATGCTTTTTCTGCATCAGTTGAGATATGTGGATTTGTCCATTCTGCTGTTGTGGCATATGACATTGATCATTTTTCACATGTTGAGCCATCCCTGCATCCAGGAATAAACTTTGCTTGTTAATGGTGTATAATATGCTGCTGAATTTCATTTTTTAGTATGTTTTGATGATTTTTTTGCATCATGGTTCATAAAGAGGTATTGGTCTGTAGCTTTATTTCCTTGTAGTGTCTTTTGGTATCATGTTGATGCTGATTTCATCGAATGAATTGGGAAGATTTCCCTCCTCTTAAATTTTTTGGAAAAGTTTGAGAAGAATAGGTATTAGTTCTTTAAATGTTTGGTAGAATTCACCCATGAAACCATCAGGTCTGGGGTTTTACTTTATTGGGAGAATTTCTCTTACTGATTCAATCTCATTACTAGTTATAAGTGAGTAAGTAGTCATATTTTATGTTTCTTCATGGCTTAGTTTTGGTAGCCTTTGTATTTCTAGGAATTTGTTCATTTTATCTAGGTTATCCAATTTTTTGGTGCAAAATTGTTAAAAGTACTCTCTTATTGTATTTTGTATTTATGTAGAATTGAGAGTAATGTTCCCACTTTCATTTCTGATTTCAATAAATTGAGTCATCTCTTTCTCTTTCTTAGTCCATCTAACTAAGGTTTGTGAATTCAGTTGATCTTTACAAAGAACCAACTTTTGGCTTTTCTCCTCTATTTTATTTATTTCCTCTCTAATCTTTAGTACTTACTCCCTTCTGCTAGCTTTGGGTTTAGTTTGAGAGAGTGAAAGAGTGTGAATGCGGGAGGGTCAGAGAAGGAGAGAGAGTATCCTAAGCAGGGTATGTGCTCTCAGCATGTAGTCCAGCACAGTCTGATCCCACAAGCTGTGAGATCATGACCTGACCCAAAATCAAGAATCATATGCTCAACTGAGTCATTCAGGTCCCCCTGGATCATGTGTTTTTTACATTCAGCTCATCGCTGTCTTTTGATTGGAGAATTTAATCCATTTACACTTAAAGTAATTACTGGCAAGGAGCCGCTTCTGAAATTGTGCTATTTTTTTCTATTTGCCTTAGACGTTTTTTGTCCCTCATTTCCTGTATTGCTGTCTTATTTTTTGTTTAGTTGATTTTTGTAGTGAAATGTTTAAATTCCTCTCTCATTTCTTTTTGTGTATCTTCTGTAGCTATTTGTTTATAGTTACCATGGGGACTGTAGTTAACATCCTACACTCATAGCATTCCAGTTTGAATTTATACCAGGTTAACTTCAGTAAGTTACAAAAACTGCTTATTTAAAGCTTTATCCCTACCTCTTTTGGTTGTTGATGTCATACTGATCTCTACACTAATAATTGTAATACTAGCTTCTGCACTAATAATTTATTTTCTTCTAAAAGATTGGTCTCTTAAATCATATAGAAAACAAAAATTTTATTTACAAACTATTGTTACAATAATACTAGCTTTTAATATTGCCCAGGTATTTATCTTTATTGAGATCTTTATCCATATAGTTTCAAGTTACTTTTTAGTGTCCATTCATTTCACCTTGTAGACTCTCTTAGACATTTCCTGAAAGTGAAATCTGTTGGTCACAAACTCACTGAGATTTTCTTTCTGGGGAAGTCTTAATTTCTTCCTAATTTTTGAAGGACAGTTTTACTGGAAAGCGGAATTTTGGTTGCCAGTTCTTTTTCTTTCAGCCCTTTGAGATTTCAGTCCATCCACTGTCTTCTGGCCTCTAAGTCCTGATGTGAAATCTGTTGATAATCTTATTTAGGATCCTTCATAGGCAATGATTCACTTCTCTCTCCCAGCTTTCAAGATTCTTGTCTTTGTCTTTTGAAAGCTTCTTATATTTCCTAGTGTGGGTCTCTTTGCATTCATCTTACTTGAAGTTTGTTGAGCATTTTAGGTATTTATATTCCCAACTTTCATCAAAATTGGAAAGTTTCCAGCCATTATTTCTTCAGATAGTCTTTGTGCCCATTCTATCTTCTTCTGATTGTCTTACAGTATATATGTTGGCTAGCATACTGGTGTTGCAAAAGTACCTCTGGTTGTTTACTTTTCTTCAATCTTTTCTCTTTCTGCTCCTCTGACTCCATAATTTTCATTGCCCTCTCTTCACTAATTCTTCCTTCTGCATGCTCAAATCTGTATTTAAGTCCCTAGTGAATTTTTCCTTGTAGTTATTATACTTTTCAACTCCTGAATTTCATTTTGGTTTTGTTTTAGGTTTTCTGTCTCTAGTAGATGTTTCCATTGTGTTCACACGTTGTTTTCTTGACTTTCTACATTTCTTCCTTTAATTCACTGAGCATCTTTGAGACCGTTATTTTAAAGTCTTTGTCTAGTTCTGTTAATTTCTGTTAACTTCTGTTTTCCTTTAAACAGACTTTCCTCTTTCTTTGTATACCTTGTCCTTTTTGTTGAACTGTACATTTGGATCTACTAATACGCTAAGTCCGGAAATCAGATTCTACCCTCTTCCTTCTATGTTATTCTTGTAGGTTGTCTCCATGCTGAGGATCAGCCTGACATGTAAACTGAAGGGCTTTTCTGCATGCTCAAATCTGTATATAAGTTGCTCGTGAATTTTTCATTGTAGTTATTATACTTTTCAACTCCTGAATTTCATTTTGGTTTTGTTTTAGGTTTTCTCTGGGCATGCACAATCACTTTTACTTTTTCCCACATATGCAGTTGTTCTTCAGTGTTCTAGTCTTTAATGTCTGGCTCCTGATGGGAAAAATGAAAAGTGAAATGAGGAGCAGAGGGCCCTGGATGTTTAATCCCCTAGAAGTCACTTCAGGCAGGTGGAAGGGGGCTTACAAGGGTTAGGGGCTGGTGTGACAACAGTAACTGCCTATCTCACTGCTTTTCTGTGATCAGAAGCAGAATTCGGTGATAAGAGCACAGATCCCCACTCTTTGGAGGACAGAGCCCTTTTTGCCCACCCTGGATCCCTCAGGCTGCTTCTAAGCTGCTGCAAGAACACATGCACAGCTGCCTGCCAGGGCTGGGGGCTGGGTACCTAACACTGTGTTAAGATGAAATTGACTGGAATCAGTGCAGTTTACCTGTCCAAGTCTTTCCTGTGAAGTTGTAAGCAGACTTCCTAGTTCCAAAATCTTTACATCACATGGATCCTAAGAAGTTGTCCTCTAGATCCAGGGACAGATTCCCAGTGCTTACCACTTTGCCATTGTTCCAGAATAATCTAATACATTATAACAGAGAATCAGTGAGCCTTGGGGGAAACTTCAGCTGGAAGCATTTACAGGTAGTTTCGCTATTTTTTAACCTGGTCAAGTAAAACTGTTGGAGCCTGCTGTCACTTCAGGCATACCTCAGAGATTGAGGTTTGGTTCCAGACTATCTCAATAAAGCAAGTATTTCAAAAAAGTGAGTGAAATTAATTATTTGGTTTTCTAGTGCATATAAAAGTTAGGTTTGCAATGTAATAGAGTCTATTAAATGTGCAATAGCATTATATAAAAAACAAAACAAAAAAATGTACATACATTAATTTAAAGACAGTTTTATCTACATAGAGACAGAAAGTGAGTCAACGCTGTTGGAAAAATGTGCTGATTGACTTGCATGTTTCAGGGTTGCCACAGACCTTCAATTTGTTAAAAAAAAATACAGTATCTACCATGTGCCCTAAAAAATGCAGTAAAACGAGGTATGCCTATAGTTATTTAGAGATAGCTTGTTAAGTGCTAAAAATTTAAGACATATTCTCTTCTCCGAGAAGTAGCCTTATTGAGAAACAAAATACAAAAAGATGTCAAAGCAAAGTAGTAGATGAATAGTACCAAAATAAATACCATGATTCATGATCATTACAATGAGAGTTTAGGAGATGAGAGTACTGTGAATTTAAATCATCAGAGAAGATAATGAGTAGGCATATTCCTGGGCTCCTCCTTCTTAGAAAGATACTGTAGGGGACACCTCGGTGGCTCAGTCTGTTGAGCAGCCAGCTTTTGGTTTCGGCTTTGATCCTGTGGTCCGTGGGATATAGCCCCACATCGGGCTCTGCACTGTCCGCGAGCTTCTCTCTCGCTCTCTTTCTGCCCCTCCCCCACCTCAAAATAAATAAGCATTTATAGAAACAGATACTCTGATCTAAACATTAATAAGAACTAAAACTCACCTCACACTTGCTGTGTGCCAGATGGCAACTCATCTAGCCCTCAAAACAGCTCCAGGATATATATGCTGTTATCCTCTTTGCCCAGATGAGGAAGCTGAGCAAGAGACACATTCAGGGTCTTGCCTGAGCTCAGAAAGAAAGTGAGCCACGGAGCTGGGACTCAGATCCGGCCAGGCAAGCTCGGGGGCCTCATCTCTCTACTGAGAAGAATGACAGGAGCATAGAAATGAATGTGTAATGTGATTGCTGGAGATAGCAAAGAGGCCAGCCTGACACCTAGGTATGACAGATGTGTTAGGAAATCTTTGCTCTAGGTCCATGTATGTTTCAGTGCAGAAATCCTTTATTTGGTTAAATTGCAGCTATGGTTAACATTCTCATTATATGTCACTTAAGGAACTTCTCCCTCAAGCTACATTAGTGTAGAAAAACAACCATGTAAAATGTTTTTTTATTGTCATATACATCTTGTTAACTGCTGAAGAATCCAGTAACTTTTTTCTTTTCTAGTTATCGATTACTTGGACCAAAAGTTCTTTATTGTGAAATTTCTCCTATTGACAGTAATGTACTGACTTGGAGTGACAATGCCCCCATATGTAATAGTAAGTATATTCTTTCTTTAGCATTTAGAGGATTAGTCCTTAAAATTTTGCTGTTGGGATCCTTTTTCGCGTTTAGATTAATAAAAACCACAAAGAGCTTTTCCTATATGGGTTTTGTCTATTGATATTCATTATGTTGGAATTAAAAGTGAGAAGTTTTAAAAATAACTATTAATTCACGTTTAAGAACTGTAAGCTCGATACATGTTAATATATGCCACAATTTGTTTTAATGTTTATTTATTTGTGAGAGACAGAGCATGAGCAGGGGAAAGGCAGAGAAAGAAGACACAGAATCTGAAGGCAGCCTCCAGGCTCTGAGCTGTCAGCACAGAGCCCGTTACCGGGCTCAAACCCACAAACAGCGAGATCATGACCTGAGTGGAAGTCAGACACTTAACTGACTAAGCCACCCAGGTGCCCCCACAAATTTTTTAAAAAGCAGAATTTTCGGGGTGCCTGGGTGGCTTAGTTAACTAAGTGTACAACTTCGGCTTAGGTCATATCTTATGGCTCATGAGTTCGAGCCTTGCGCTGGGCTCTGTGCTGACAGCTCAGAGCCTGGAGCCTACTTCAGATTCTGTGCCCCTTTCTCTCTGCCATCCCCCACCCCCCCCGCTTGTGCTCTGTCTCTCCATCAAAAATAAATAAACATCAAAAAAAAAATTTTTTTTTAAATAAAATTTTAAATTAAAAAATTTTTAATTTTTTTTTTAAAAGAAATAGAATAGGGGCATTGTTTTTACATTTTTGCAAATCTCTTCAAAATCTGGCTTAAAGGAAGATGTCTGGATTCAGTCTGTGGTGTTATCATAGAATTTGTAGTATCTGGATAATTTCACCATAGACTCATATGGATGAAAGTGAAAGCAGACAGTAATATCTTGATACTGTGAACTCTCAATTTAATGAATGGATATAGAGTTGACTCTTGAAAAACACGGGTTTCAACTGTGTGGATGCACTTATTTGTGGTTTTTTCACAGTACAGTACTATACATGTGTTTACTCTTCCTTATGGTTTTCTTAATAACATTTTCTTTTATCCAGCTTGTTTAATTGTAAGAACACAGTATATAATGCATATAACATAAAACATATGTGTTAGTCAACTGTTTATGTTCTTGGTAAGGCTTCTGGTCAATAATGGGCTATTAGTAGTTACGTTTTGGGGGAATCAAGAGAGAGGAGTTTCAATTGTGCAGGAAATCAGTTCTCCTAAACCCCTAAATTGTTCAAGTATCAAGAGTGTTTATAAATTATAAAGCATGTCTCAACTAACACTGAGTTCTCTTTGTAATTGCAATAATATTTTCTTATTACATCGTTAGCATCTCTTATGATGAGAACTTAGAATGTTTTTCCAGATAAACATAGGTATTTCATATAGGTGTCTTATATAGGTATTTAAGAAAATGAGTTTTATTCTAAAAGTTCATGTCTATATTAATGGTTTGAATTTGGTATAATACATTTCTCACAGAAACTTTCTTGTAAATGGATATTGGATCTATAGCCAGCTTATAGAAGTCATGTGTTAATGAATTTATTGAGGACAGTTCATAGGATTTCACTAATGTTATCTTCATCTTTTCCTTTCCTTTTGCCTTTCATGTCCTTTTTTTATTTTTATTTTTTTCATTTTTTAAGAGATATTGTGTGCACCACCTGGAAAAATCGCAAATGGGAACTATAAGATTAGCAAGGAGGAATATGACTATAATGAAGTGGTAACTTACAGTTGTAATCAGTCAAGTGGACCAGATCCATATTCACTTATTGGAGAGAACAGACTTGTTTGTACTGGGAACGGTGACTGGAGTAGTAGCCCTCCTCAGTGTAAAGGTATCGTTTCCATTTTCTTCCTTCTTCATTTGTAAATATTTTGGAAACACTTGGTAGATACTTACCTACACATAAACAAGACGGCCCCGTGTGCTTGTTCCTCCCATTAAATTGGTTTCTAATTTAATTTAATACAGGTCAAATTGACTCCAAAATAGTTCTGTTTAATAGAGTTCCCCAGCCCTTAACCTACATGTTCTTAGCAATTTAATTTATACATCGTAAACTCCTCTCTCTGTGTATGCATGAGTTAGGATTTTTTTTCTTGTAAACATCAAAAAAAAAAAAAAAAGACAGCACACACTGGCTTAAAAATAACAGTTTTATCTTCTATTACAAGATACTTGAGAGATCGGGCTCTAGGAAATGGTAGAATAAATTGTAAAAGACTGTCTCACAAACAAGAATAATAAACTCTAGACAAAACATATTTAAAAATTAATGTCAAAGAGTCTAGAGAGTGACCTAATGCAGGGAGACACAAGAGGGGATTTGATGGTTATTAGAAGAAAAGGACCAGCAAAATATTTACTCTGGGCACACAAGGTACACATGGAACATTTTCTAGTACCATATTCTATGCAATATGATAGTTAAAAAAATTTTTTTTTCAGTTGAAGTCATTCAGAGTGACTTCACATCACAATGGAATGAAATGTAGAAATCAACGATACCTCCAAAAGCCCCAAATATTTGAAAATTAGACACTTCTAACCAGCCAACCCATGAGTCAAAGGAGAAGTCACAAGGAAAATAGGAAAGTGTTTTAAATTGAATAAAAATGAAAACACAGCATATCAAAATATCACTATTTGTGGGATACAGCAAAAGCATTGCTTGGAAGAATACTTATAGCCTGAAATACATATATTAGAAAAAGAGAAAAGTCTCAAACCCATGATCTAATAAGCTTCCACCCTAAGAAACTAAAAAAGAAGAAATTAAGCTCATTATGACATTCTGGAAAAGCACCTCTCTAGGAATAGAAAAGAGATCAGTATTCGGCTGGTTGGTGAAGGTGGTTGTGGGGGTGGGAAGGGTTGATTACAGAGCGGCATGAGGAACTATTGGGCAGCAGTGGAACTTTTCTGTGTCTTTATTGTGGTAATTACATGATTATTTGCCTTTGTCAAACTTCACAGGGCTTTACACTTGAAAGGACCAGCTTTACCATATGTAGATCATGTCTAGCAAACATAAGGAAAATCATTAGTGCAGTTAACAGTAATTTAGCACAACGGTGAAAAGATTAATTAATAGATCAATTAATAGATTCTGAAATCCATCTATCAGGTCATGAGAAGTACTTTACTTCTTAAGAGATGGAGCAGAATGGGAGATAGCAGAGCACGCTGGTGTGAGGCTGACTTGTATTTCAGGCTTGTGTGCTTATATACTGGTTTACAACGTAAAATGTGTCTTTTGATCTCTGGCTCGCAGGCCAAGACGTTTGGAAAACACTGCCCTAACTCCATTGGCTTTTCTGTTTCTTGAACATCCCATTTATATATGTTATTGCTAACTGAGAACTTTCTTTTTGCATATCTTTGCATGGCTACTTGCTTTTCAACTTTTAAATTTGAACGCAAGTATGACCTTCTCAGAAAAGTCTTTCCTATCTTTCTAGAAAAGCAGGGTACTGAAATCAGTGTCAGCATGACCTTAAAAAAATACGTAGAGCTGGGGTGCCTGGGAGGCTCATTTGGTTAAGCATCAGACTCTTGATTTCAGCTCAGGTCATGATCCCAGGATTGTGAGATTAAGCCCCAAGTTGCTCAGCACGGAGCCTGCTTAAGATTCTCTTCTTCCCTTTCCTGCTCGTGTTCTCTCTCTCTCTCTCTCTCTAATTAATTAATTAATTAATTAAAATCCCTAGAGCTAACGAGAATCAGAAGTTGCTCTTGAACCTGCCCTGGATTTGTATGCAGTCGTCAGAGCTTTCTCAAAACTTGTCAGTAATGGGGAAAAAATGTAGGAAAGCCAATAAATCCAAGTGTTTTCTAAGTGGAAAAAAGTCCTAGATTTCTCTAAATGCTTTTCCCTGGAATGAAAATGTGCATACATGTAAAGTTTTTTTGGGTGTTTTTTGTTTGCTTGTTTCTTTTTGTTAACACCTTGCCTTTCATTCATTTTTTTTTTCTTCCTGCTAGAAATGACTACTGTGCACTTTTTTTTTTTTTTTTTTTTTTTTTTTTTTTTTTTTTTTTTTAAACAGCTTTCCATTAATTCTGGAGTTTCTTTACTTTTCAGTGGTCAAGTGTCCGTATCCCGAACCCCTCAATGGAAAGCTGGTATCAGGCTTTGGAAGCAAATACTACTATAAAGCAACAGTTGTGTTTTCATGCTTACCGGGTTACACCTATAATGGAACCAACATAGTTACCTGTGGCAGTGACAGTACTTGGGAGCCCGCAGCCCCAATGTGTTATAAAGGTACAATGGGTATCTTTTCCCTTTTCTCTCTCTTTTTTTTTTTAAAGTTTGTTTCTTTGACATTCAATAACAGTGGTGCCACAAATAGGTGAAATGTAGCAATTTTAGTATTCGACTCTGCCTTATTCTATTCCTTTCCATGACAGACGGATTACGGAATTCACAGAAGAATTCTGCTGTTGTGATTTTATGTGTTTTCATAGGGTCTTTGCATGTTACGTGTGTCACACAGGTATATAAATTTCTCTGGTATGGCTTTGTGTGTGTGTAAAAATGAAGTGGAGGTGGGTGGGAGATGAGGTAAATGGATGCGCATCATTAAGGAGGGCACTTGTTAGGATGAGCACTGGGTACCATATGTAAGAGATGAATTACTGTGTTCTATTCTTGAAGCCAAGACTGCACTCACTGTATGTTAGCTAACTTGAATTAAAATTTAAAAAAATTAATGGTATAATTCATATAAGTGAAAAGAAAGGAGTAAATCAGGGGTGGGGGGAAGCTAATCCAGTCTACATTATTTTTTTTTCCAGTACTGATTCCTCTCCGTGCTAGTCCTCCAACTTTGAATCATTCAGATTTAGTAACTTTCTGCTTATGTTTTCCAAAACTCTTTTAAATTCTGGGTGCAAATACCAGCAATAACCCCAAGCATTTGATACATCTACATTATTTTGTTTTCCAGTGTCGACTCCTACAAGTACAAACCCTCCTACAAGTACAAACCCTCCAATTCCGAGTATCTCAGGTTTAGTACCTTCCTGCTTTTATTTTTCAAAACCTTCTAAATCTCTAATGTTTTGCACACATTTGTCATGTTTAGTAATGAAAGGAGGAAGAACATATTGCTAGCCATTTTAAGTTGTTAGTGATTCTAAAATGATTTTCCACAGTATGCAGATATAAACAGGTATGTAAACTTGGGCAAGTTATATAAACTTTACATGTATTTACATATTTGTAAAATGCTTGAACAAGGGAGGGGCAGAGGGGGAGGGAGAGAGAGAATCCAAAGCAGGCTTTACTTTGTCAGCACAGAGCCCAATGGGGGGCTTGATCTCATGACTCTGAGATCATGACCTGAGCATAAATCAAATCAGACACTTGACTGACTGAGACACCCAGGCACTCCTGTAAAATGATTTAATGCCTTCCTTAATGAGTGATGGTAAATGTTTAATGGAATTCATTAAAAACTTTTTTTAATGTTTATTTTTGAGGGGGTAGGGAGAGGCACAGAGAGCGGGAGATACAGAACCAAAGCAGGCTCCAGTCTCTGAGCTGTCAGCACAGCCCAGTCTCGGGGCTCGAACTCACAAACTGCGAGATCATGACCTGAGCCGAAGTCTGACACTCAACTGATTGAGCCACCCAGGCACCCCTTAATGGGATTCATTTAAAACAGCACAGTGCCTGTGGGAAACTCCTAAAGGCGACTTATATGACATCACTCAAATTAATATTAGTGAAGAGGAAGGTCCTTGGCTTCTGCCTTTTAACATATTTTCTGTGCTTTTGATTTTGATGTTTTTTATTCCTTTCAGAAGCGATCTGTTGGCTCCTTGAGGGTGTCTTCCTGGTCCAGAACTATGTTTCAGTTGCTGGACTGCAACCAATTTAGTTTTGGGTTTTGTTTTGTTTTGCTTGTTTTTGTTTTTTGTAGCATAGTTTAAATTGGGAAATTTCTGCTATCTCTAGAATAAGACCTGTATTAACATCCCTCACCTCCACTAACCTCCTCACCTCATACACTAATTTTTTTTCTCTTTACTGGCATTTTTATTTGGTGATAGAAACTAAATTACTTAGCTGCTGAAAGGCAGGAATAGTCTTTATTCACTGAAATGAATCTTGCACGTTCTGCTAATGAGCTACTCTGCTTAAGAACTGAAAGATTCTTTTGCCATGGCTGGAAGGAAATATCTCCCAGAGTTCAGAGTTTCTATCTCTGAGCACATTATTTTTATGATTTATTATTGCCAGTTAACTTCTGGGATTCCCATTTTAAAATATAAAGCTATATCGGGGCGCCTGGGTGGCTTAGTCGGTTAAGCGTCCGACTTTCGCTTAGGTCATGATCTCGCGGTTCATGGGTTCGGGCCCCGCGTCGGGCTCTGTGCTGACTGCCAGCTCAGAGCCTGGAGCCTGTTTCAGTCTGTGACTCCCTCTCTCTCTGACCCTCCCCTGCTCACGCTGTCTCTCTCTCTCTCTCTCTCCCTCTCCTAGAAATAAATAAAACATTAAAAAAAAAAAAATAAAATAAAATATAAAGCTATAGTGAACATTGTTATTCATACCTTCTCATGTACTCGTGCAAATAGATACTTAGTTTAAATTCCGGGAAGTAGAATTACACAGTTCAGAAAGTATGTATTTTTCACTTTGGGAAATAATCTTTTTAAGGTCAAAATCAAAATTAATTCCATAATTTTGTATTAATAAATTTGGTGAATTGAAACATTAATTTTTTCAGAATCTGAGCTTCCTCGTACAACTACGACTCCGGGGTCAAGCCATCCGGGTTCAAGTCATCCAGGTCCAGCACTCTTTATCCTCCTTACATTGTTAAGAGCTTATAAGGCAATGCATTAAAAATGATGTCATTAATTTGCATTTCCTTTGCTCATTTTTCTATTAGGTTTCTACAATATTTTTCTCAATTTGTCCTAACTCATTATAAATGAAAGCCCCATTAATAGGAAGTGAACATTTTTTTCTGGGGTTCTTTCTTTGCTTTAATTTTACTAGTCAGTTTTCTTTTAAGATTTTTATACTCTTACCTATAGATTGCTTTTCGTAATTCTTTAATGAATTTTTTTATTTTTATTTTAGAGAGAGAGAGAGAGAGCGCGCGCACTCAAGCAGGCGAGAGGGGCAGGGGGGAGGGAGAGAGAGAGAGAAAATCATTTTTTTTTTTCAATAATCTTTTAAATATTTCTTTATATTTGAGAGAGAGAGACAGTGTGAGAGCGGGAGAGGGGCAGAGAGACAGACACAGAATCTGAAGCAGATTTCAGGCTCTGAGCCATCAGCGCAGAGCCAGACATGGGGCTCGAACTCACAAGCCATGAGATCATGATCTGAGCTGAACTCACGAGCCATGAGATCATGATCTGAGCTGAACTCATGAGCCATGAGATCGTGATCTGAGCCGAAGGCAGATGCTTAACCGACTGAGTCACCCAGGCGCCCAGAGACAGAGAGCGAGAATCTTAAGCAGGCTCCGTGCCTAGTGCCGAGGCTGACAGGGGGCTCGAACCCACAACTCTGGGATCATGATATGAGCTGAAATCAAGAGTCGGATGCTGCACCAACTGAGCCACCCAGACGCCTCACTGCCTATAACTGTAATATAGAAGTAGTATATAAATATAAGCTTTTAAATTTTCAAACATTACAAGAGTATATAGAATAAAAGATTAGTTCTCATTCTCTTTCTCTAGTCCATTACTTGAAATAACCACGTAATAGTTCAGGGTTTCTTTTTATCCATCTCTGTATATAAATAAGCATCCTTTTATGTATAGTTATACATACTTTGGTGGGGGTTTTTTCTTTATTCTTACATAAAAATGGCATCACACTGTTCATGTTTTTCTGAAACTTGCACTTTTTCCACTTCACGGATTGGGGTTGTATTTAGATTATTATATCCCCATCCTTTTAATGGTGACTTTAAGAAACACCACGGTTTATATAACTATTCTCCTGTCAGGGGTCTTTTATATATGTAGAAGTTTTATATTAACAAGTAGTTGGATATATTGATCTTTTCCCTAAAGTCTGTGTGTGTGTTGTCTTCTTTATAAAAGATTTAGGCCTTCCACACACTGAAATCTATGAACATTTCTACAGTGCATTCTGATTACTTTCTCTGCATTTAGATCATTGGTGCATCTGAAATTTACTGTGCTATGTGGTGTGACGTAGGGCTCCTCCTGCAACACCCACTTCTACCCAGTGGCAAAGTAGCAACATTTGTTGAATAACTTGTTTTCTCTCCAACTCTTTTCAAGCGCCAGTTTTTATTATATGTTAAATTCATGGGTATCTTAGTCATCCTTCTGTGGCCTTGAACTCTATACACAAATCATTTTTTTTTACCATGGGACTATGCTATGTTTTAATATCTGGCAGAACACTTCATTTTCAGAAATGTTTAGACCCTTCTGTATGCTAATTTTTCTAGATAAGCTTTTATTACCATTTTAACCATTGTAAATGTCTATTTCAGTGGCATTAAGTGTATCCACATCATTTGCAACCGTCACTACTATCTGTATCTCCAGCATATTTTCATCATCATCTGAAACTGAATCCTTATACCCATTAAACAAGAACTTTCTGTCCTTCCCCAACCCCCTCCAGCCCTGGTAACCACCATTCTACTTTCCATCTTTATGAATTTGACTATTGCAAATACCTCATAGAACTAGAATCATTTCTAGCTTATTTCAGTTAGCTAGTGTATTCTGGATTATTTCACTTAGCACAATGTTTTTTTTAAAATATAATTTATTGTCAAGTTGGCAAACATACAGTGTATACAGTTGCTCTTGGTTTGGGGGTAGCATGGATCAGAACTTATTTCTTTTTCCAGCTAAATAATACTCCATTGTATTATATACCATATTTTGTTTATCCATTCATCTGTTGATAGATGCTTGGGTTGTTTCTACCTTATGGCTATTCTGGATGATGTTTCTCTGAGTAACTGTCTGAGGCCCTCTTTTTCAGTTTTGGTGGACTGTGTACCCGGAAGTAGAATTGCTGGGTTATGTGGTAATTCTGTGTTTACTGTTTTGAGGAGGAGCCATGTAACTTCCACAATGGATACACTTAATCTGTAGCACCATGTTACAGTCCCATCAGTGATGCACAAATGTTCCAATTTCTCCACCTCTTTGGCAGCACTGTTCTTTCGTAGCTTTGGATAATAGCCATCCTAATACATGTGAAGTGGTATCTCCCTGTGGCTTGTATTGCATTTCCCTAATGATTAGTCCATCTTTTCACATGCTTCATGGTCTTTTGTAGCTCTTTGGAGGAATGTCTTTTCAAAGTCTTTGCCCATTTTTTCATTGGCTTGTTTTTTGTTACTGAGTTTTAAGAGTTCATTATATATTATGTGTATTAATGTCTTAGCAGGTGTATGATTTGCAGATGTTTTCGCTCATTCTGTGGATTCCCTTTTCACTCTATTGACAGTGTCCATTGATGGACAAAAGTCTTACATTTTCATGAAGCCCAATGCATCTGTTGTTTTCTTTTGTTGTCTCTGCTTTTGGTATCCCATCCAAGCAATCTTTGCCAGATCCAGCATCACAAAAGATTGTTCTATATGTTTTCTTTGAAACATTTTATACTTGTAGTCCTATTTTAGTTTTGTATGCATTTTGAATTAATTTTTGTGTGTAGTGTGAAGTGAGGGTCCAACTTCATTCTTTTGTTTCTGGATATCCAGTTTTCTAAGAACCATTTGTTGAAAATTTTGCCCTTTCTCCGTTAAATATTCCTAGCACCTTTGTGGACTATCATTTGACCACGGACATGAGGGTTTATTCCTGGGTTCTCTATTCTGCTCCATTAGTCTCTGTCTTTATGCCAGTACCACCCTGCTTGATTACTGTAACTTTGTAGTAAATTTGAAAATCAGGAAGTGTGAGTCCTCTCAACTTTGCTCTTTTTTTTTTTCCCCAAGATTATCTTGGGCGCCTGGGTGTAGTCAGTTAAGCATCCAACTTCGGCTCAGGTCATGATCTCACGGTTCATGAGTTTGAGCCCCACATCAGGCTCTCTGCTGTCAGCATGGAGCCCGCTTCGAATCCTCTCTCCCCTTCTCTCTCTCTGTCCCTTCCCTGCTTGTGCTGTCTCTCTCAGAAATAAACAAACGTTAAGAAAAAAAAATACTATCTCGGCTATTCTTAGTCCTTTGAGATGCCATATGAATTATAGGTTGGTCTTTCCTGTTTCTGCAAAATGTATATTCAACATGGTGATTGGGGTTGCATTTAATCTGTAGCCTGCTTTGTGTGGTATGAACATTTTAATAATAGGAAGTCTTCTAATTTATGAACATGGGATGTCTTTCCATTTATTTTTATCTCCGGTTTGTTTCAACAACATTTTGTAGTTTTCAGTGTATGAGTTTTTGTCTTCTTGTTTTATTGCTGAGCATTTTGTTCTTTTTTGATGCTATTATAAATGGGGTTTTCTTAATTTCCTTTTTGGATTGTTCATTGTTAGTATATAGAAATACAAGTGATTTGTGATTTTTGTGTGTTAACTTTGTGCCCTGCAGCTTTGCTGAATTCATTTTTTCTAATAGGGGTGTGTGTGTGTGTGTGTGTGTGTGTGAGAGAGAGAGAGAGAGAGAGAGAGAGAGAGAACCTTAAGAGTTTTCTATGTAAAGGTCACATCATCTGGAATAGAGATCATTTTAGTTCTTCCTTCCAAATTTGAGTGTTTTCTATTTCTTTTTCTTGCCTAATTGCTCTGACTAGAACTTTTAAGATTATGTTAAATGAAATGGAAAACACAAGCATCTTGTCTTGTTCCTGATCTGATGGGGAAAACTTTCAGTTTTTGACCATCGAGTATGCTAGTGACGGCATTTTCATAAATGGGCTTTATCACATTGGCATTTCCTTCTACTACAGATCAACATGTAAATAGTTTATTAAGCCCCCCAAATTTTTACTTTTAAGTAGAACCACATTGACCCCATAGGCTAATTATGATACAGTTGCTTGCTATATCATAGAATATTATCACAGGAAATGCTACTGGATTGGAAGAATACTGATAACACATAAATTTATGATATATTATGATACTACTTTTAATGGGAGACATTTAATATAGTTTATTTAAGGAAAATGAAATTACAAGGGTTTTCATACAAAGGCAAAAAATCAAAACCTCTGATTTTGGAGGTCTGTAAGTATTATTATTTTCTTTTTTTTTAAATTTTTAACTTATTTTCATTTTCCCCCCCTAGGAGCTCCTCCTACCAGTAAACCACCGTCTGAAGACACAAATGCTTTAGGTACTGTTTTGCTTATTGATAGCCTTGTATTCTGAAATCCTAGAGTTCTACATGTAAATATCATATTTCAGTTACGCACAGATAGAGAAGAAAGAGCATGTCACAAATTGGTAATAATTGGCATTTGGAGTTATTTTGATAGTGCAGATGCCATGACAGATGTAAGCAGTATGTGTCGATACCTGCAGACAGTATAGTTTTTAATAGGATTCCTAGTCTGGTGAGGTCACTTTCTTAAATACTACGATTATATATAGGTTAAAATACATAAAACATAACTTGCCGTCCATGGGGTAGTGTTCATTTTTGGTGGCAATTTGTAGATAAAGTTTCTTTCCGCTTGTACCTGATCTACATAAGCCTTAAAATACTACAGGTTGGGTAAGTTTTTTTCTGTAATAGGCTGGTGTGGCCAACTTTACACAGGCTTGCATCGTTCACATAATGTATGTTAAAGAAAATGAAGAAAAAGCTATAGTTCTGACAGTTAAATGGAAATAAAGATTTCTTGAAAAGTAGATGAGAAATATCTATTACTTTTATGTTAAACTAGTTTAGTAAGTAAGATTAACCTTTTTATAACTCTTTAGGCTTCTTATATTTTCCCTCTGAACACTGTAGTCAGACTGTCATTAAGCCAGTGAGAAAGGTGCCATCGTAAAATTGTTAATACTCCGTAATGTTTTATGAAATGTAAAGAACAGACTTAGACATGACATTTTATGCTCTGACTGTCTAGAACTTTAATATAAATATTGGCAGTTTAAAGCCGAGGTACTCCTAATACCATTTCTAAGAATTAAGATTTTGTAGTATGGTTTATTGCTCTCTGGCTAGTCAAAAATGCATGTTTAAGTTTCTACACATTATTTTCATCTCTGTGCCCTGGTGTTGCATTTACATATATAGAATCTCCTTGGCAATTAGGATTATGTCTTGTTTTTAGGGGAGAGAGGATCAGGAGGGGTTGATGATAAGATAAAATATTATTTTGAAGATTCTGAAACCAACATCTTTGTGACAGATGAGTAGAAATTTATTTATGACTCAGTCCACAGACCCCACTTTGGTGGAAAAAATACAAATCCCTAACAAAATCATAAATGATAGAATGAACACTGAAGTAAACCAACTATAATGGGGGTAATACATTTTAAAGCAATTTCCCTCTAATCTACTGAATTCTAGCTGTCCTGGGAAGCTTTACTAAATAACCTGATATGGCAAGGAGAGCACAAAACAATGAAAAGTGAGGTTCCTATGAAGAGATTTACAAGGTGGCCCCTGAATGTGGGATCAGAGTCCAAGGGCTCTGTGATCAGAATGACCCAGACTCACTAGCAGTCGTGCCAGAACTAGTCTGAGGAACTCTTTTCTCGCTGTGGTGCATAGAAGATCTGAGCAAGATTCAGTGCAGCTGCTCTCTGGGACCCCTGTATGCTCAGTAATCTTCAAACTCTTTTCATTTTTTTCTCAGGCACAGGAATCATTGTTGTGATTGTCCTTGGTGTTCGTAAGTAGCCCAAACTTTGATGTTACTTGAATAAAAATAATACTGTGAGGAAGTGCATTATTTTTAATTTATGTACTTAAATTATATTTAATTTGACTTTTCAAGATCTATAGTTTTTATAGCTTGAAATGAAGTACGCCAGTCTAGAATGGTCTGACCTTATATATAATACACTATGTTTTGTTGCTCAATGTAGATTCTTTTATATTCCACATGTCCACTTAGTAACAAATCCTAAGTATATATCTTCAGGATGATTAGCCATGACTTTGGGTACCAAATATGCTCTGGGCACTTCTCTAAACTAAGCAAGGATTCTTCCCTGACGTACTGTGAACCATCCAAGTGACTCCACAGTATGAACTTCAGATAGTGAAGAGCCCAGATGGAATTTGAATATATATGTGCTTAAATACAATGGCATTTTCTGACCACTGAAATGTAACCAACACTGACTTATTTCTGCTGCTACGTTTTGAATCTTAGAATCTTGGCAATTAGTTCTCAGAGTAATATGTCATTTGTTTCTGCTTTCTTGTAGTTGCTGGTGTTGTAGTAATTATCTTCATCTTGTTCATGTTTTATCGACACAAGAAGAAAGGGTAAATAAAAGGACATTTCTTCTAACTTACGGGCCTTCTCACTCCTGACATACTTCCGCGCAGCATTTGCGTTTGTACCTCATGCCGCCTTTGCCTGAGTTGAGCCTGCATCATGTGCCATGCCGGTCGCATCTGTTTACTAACAATATCTTAGGCTGCTTTTCCTGTCCTGGCAGCCAGAGCGATCTGCGCAGACTTGCTTCGTCTGTTACGACTGCAGGAAAAATTTCTGTGGGACTTGAGGTTTAAGGTCTATAGCAAATCGTGGGCCACCGTGGGGCCTTCCCCACCCAGCTTTCCCCCGTTCCCTAAACTGGACCAGGGGCCAAGACGAAATTTAGACCAGGTCACTGGAGACTCGGACAGTTGTATTCAGTGGAGTTTTTATGATCAAAGTTTCCATTTGTCCGTGGAGCTTAGGTAATTGTAAGAAGCTGTGCAGGGGTCCCATTCGAATACCCAGTCCGATGTCTTTTCATTTCGAGCTGTTACTTATACTTGTTAAACTGGGGAGTGAAAAGCAGCAGAGTTTGATTGCCCTCTTATGTTCTCTTAATTTACTAGGTTGCAGTAACACTGTTGGGGTTGCTGACAGGGGTAAGATTTACAAAGCACCTCCTTATTTATCTGTCAGTTAATCTATAAAAATGAAAAGCAGGGGATCTTAAAATGGAAAAAAAAAGTGTAAGTATATATCTTCTGAGCAGAATAGGGTTTTTAAACATCAAACAAATCTTAATGAAATAATTTCCAATTTATGAAAGACTTGGAATAAATCCTGGAGCACAGACCAAATCAGGTGCTTTGAAATTTAAATTTAGTGATTTGTTTTTTTCTCTATTGCTTTGAAAATAGTTGAAATCAAACTAATAATTTTAAGACTTTTGGTATTCATAGTTTTATGATATAGTTTCCCTTTATAGTAATCATCTGGTTTGGAATATGTAATAAAAGAACATTCTTCACTCATAAAGAGCTCAACTTTAAAAATAAAGTACCACAGTACTTCCACTTGAATCTTCAGTCTAATATTTGTAGAACACATGATATGCATATTTGATTTTTCAATCAGCAGCATATTTTTAAAATTATACATACGGAGCACTCTGAGTAGGAAGTACTGTTGTGGAATATTTTTGCAAATCCAAAATGTTTGTATAGAAATAGCTTCTCAAAAAAACAAATCAAAATAGCTCTCTGGGGGCGCCTCGGTGTCTCAGTCCCTATGCGTCCCACTCTTGATTTCAGCTCAGGCCATGATCTCACAAGCCCTGTAGACTCCATGCTAAGCAAGGAGCCTGCTTGGGATTCTCTCCCTCCCTCCCTCTCTCTGCCCTTTCCCCGCTCACTCCCTCCTTCTCAAAATAAACATTCAAAAACAACAAACAAAAAACCCTAAAACAGCTCTCTGCTCCTTATTTTACTTACTTTACTATTTTAAAACAATACTGCATCAAAATGCGTACCGATTCCTTACCGAGTGTTAATGATATGCTCCTAGCTACCAGTCAATGGGTCTTTTCAAGTTAAACAATTGTCTGCGCATTGTACCCGATGACAGATTCCATAGCATTAGTGATGTGAGTGATAACGTCTAAGGAGCCCCCAGAGATGTTGCTGTGGGCCCCAGGCGACACTGAGTTACCAAGCATAGGTTCTTATTGATGCACCCATAGTCTTGACATTGGAAGAAACGCCATCAAACATAAAGGGAAAAGTTTCTCCTGTTTAAGATAATTGAATTTCAAAAGGCACCACATCTATGTGTATGTTTTTAAAAAGTACCATGGGCTACAGTTTGGCTTTACATTGCTTTTCTTTAAAAAAAAAAAAAAAGTAAAGATTTCTATTATGTTCTTTCCATGCTTAATGTCCATCATCTTTCCCCCTGAAACTGAGTGTCATCTCCATAGAAACTTCCTTACAAGACTATAAAGCATATGCAGTTCCTTCTCTACTTCTAGGGGGGTGAGAACTCGGGAAGCACGGATAGTCCTAAATTGCTGCTAAAACTTGGTACAGATGGATTCAGATGTAAAGTCGTATTTGTGATGACTTCGGAACACAGTTACCCTTCTGCAGCCTCTGTCCCAAAGTTCAGAAAGAGCATAAGTAGTCATTTTTCAGATCAATAGACAGATCTCTAAGTTATTTATTTATTTTATTTTATTTATTTATTTTTTTGATCTCTAAGTTATTTGATGGAAAGTGGCCACAGGTTCGAGTGTTCTGCTCCGGTTCCTTAGTCTCAGCTGGGAATAGGACGGGCTCCCAGGGCGTCTGAAACGCCCCTTTTTCCTTCCCGTTTCCTTTCTTCACTAATTTGCTCCCATCCTCTCTAGTCTTGGAATCCGCCGCCCTTGCCCTGTGTCTTGCTATCGCTTGAGTTCTGTTTTGCTTGTCGTGACCGCGTGGTCCTAGAAAATAGATGCCATTCGTTGCATTAATGTTTTCATGTACGTGTTTCATACGTGCATGATTTCCTTTCCTCCGGTTACATCGTCGCTGGGTAAGTGAGAGTTTGCTTAAGTCTGTTAGAATTATGTACATAATCTATGTATTTTATTACCTGTGACTAAATAGTTGCTCCTTTTTTTCTGTTAAGGATATTTATTATTTGGTATAACTTAAGCCTGTTTTTAACATTATATTAATAATGACTGGTCCACTAACTTTGTAGTATTTTTTACATTTTTCTAACTTTGTAATTCTTAAGCTGTCTGTGCTTAAGTGGATGTTACAAAACGTTTTGGGATTTACTGCATAGAGTGGCCAGATCAGGTGGTGGGGGGTATAGGGGCAAAAACCCGAAAGACCAAATTAACTTGGACATTGTTCTACTTGGCTCTCACATGCTTGAGCTGCAAACGCTTCAAAACATTTTTAAAACAATAAATAACAAAGGATGTTGTGGTTAGTTGAGAGCAAACATCAGATCCATCCCAGGAAAATGAGATGTTATGGGAGAAGCTTTACAGAGGTCTTTCCCCGGGGTGAAAACAGATGTGCCGCAGGAAGAAACTGTACTTGACGCAAAAGTCAAGATGCATCTGCCTTGTCCTCAAATTGATTTCTAAGACAGCATTTAATATGCACTCTATGTATTCCCTCTACATCTAAGATGCGAGGGACAAGGACCATTTGTCCTTAAACAGTTTCTGTGTGAGAGAGTTTACGTTATTCGTATCCAGCTAATTGGTTTTAGAGGTAAATAGATTGCACAGCAATTCAGAATCCATCCATCTGCCGGGCGATCTATAAGACGTCAACGTTAAAGTAGCTCCCCACACACAATTCCTGTTCCAAGTTCCTAGAGGAGAATCAGGAAAGTCGTAATTTATTCATCTAATTGTCGGCTCTACTTCTCTTTTCTCTGTCATTCATTTTATCCTACTTGTTCTGATTCCTTTTGGTTTGTTGTGATGGTTTTATTCAGCCCTTTTCCCTTCCTCTGTTCAGCACATACCAAACTGGTGAGAGCCACAGAGAAGTAAAATTAAATTCTCTCTGAGAAGAAGAGGTGAGAGAAAGGTTTGCTTTTATCATTAAAAGGTACCTGCTTCTGTATGTTTCTTTTCAGAGATAATCCTTTCTAGAATACAAAATACCCAGTGACTATTTAAATGTCAATACCCCAAACTAAGCTATGTTGCCAGTAAACATCAAGAGAGATACATAGATTCTTGTTCCCTTTGCTAAATTATTGGTTTTTATACCATCCCTGAAGTTTTAAAAGCAAAAAACCCAAAAAACCCACATACTGTCAGACTTTTACTTTGATGTAGGCTTCAAATGAATAATGTCTCCATTGTCCTTCTATTAGACTATGTAGCTTCCTTGACCTCATAGTAACTGTGAATCCAAATGTGCAGTAATTTTTTAGCCCAGCGGGAAATAATACAGAATCTGATCATTTTAAGTGCAGGGAGGAAAAATACCCTTTTTCAGAAACTAAAATACATTTTACTTAAGTTTGCAAGTGCATTTGATTTTGTTTTTTTTAATGTTTTTTATTTTTGAGAAAGAGGTAGAACGTCAGCGGGGGAGGAGCAGAGAGAGAGAGGGAGACACAGAATCTGAAGCAGGGTCCAGGCTCTGAGCTGTCAGCACAGAGCCTGATGTCGGGCTTCAACTCACAAGCAATGAGATCATTATCTGAGCCAAAATCAGATGCTTAACCGACTGAGCCACCCAGGCATCCCGCAATTTCAACTTGTAAATATTACTCTTGAAGGCATTTGTTTTCCTTTACCAGAATATTTTTAGCGTATGAAAGAGAAACCAACAAAAAATTCCTTAGAGTTTGAAAAATTATGAATTGCATTGCCTTAGAGCCCTTTGACTACATCCACCTTGTGTCTTCGAATGAAATGCATTGGAAATATTCCTCTATTTGTGCCTGAATGTGTCCGCACAACCAGCAAGGGAGCAGATACGTAACCACCACTCACAATGTGGGTGCCCCTCTCCCTTACAGTCAGCACTTTGGGAGCAGACTCTAAAAAGGCCAAGAGGAAGAGCAATTTCTTGGTAAAAGCAAAGTGGTGTGTTGGGTCCCAGGAGCTAAGGGGAAGGCAAAACATTCAGCTAGAACTGGCAGTGGAGGCCTGCCTGACCCAGTGTGTCTTCTTGGTCCCAGAATTCCTTGGAGGCTAAAGCCAACCAGGAAGGTAGATTTCAGTCTGTCATGAGCTTTACGGTCTCTGTAACCATCTGAAGGTAATTTAAGGGATGCTGAAGATAACATGAAATTTCTGTAATGAGTAATCCGGTTTTGGATTCTCCTCATCTTTAAATAGCTTCATTGTTATGCCAAATAATAAATGCGTCTTAAGAGGTATGTTAATCCTTTTGATCTTTCTTCTATGTTGGATTCTATTTAAAATTCTATGTACCTGAAAAAGAGGATACCACGACCACACAAACAAAAGGAGTTTTGACTCAAAAAAACCTGGAAAAATAGAGCAGTCTTGGAGAAGTCAGTGACAGGCCTGACTCACAGTATAAAGTGGCTCACAGTCGACCTCAGGGGATGGCTCTATCAGGAGTGTAGTTCTGTGAGGGTGGAGGCTCAGAGGACGGCCTCCCCCACAAAGAGAAACCGGAGGGTAGCCACAGCCATGGTTAGCTGTTCCGTTGTGCAGCATCTAGCACATCCCCGAGGTGTTTGCCGGGGCGCACGTACTGGAGAGCAGCTGACGGTGCCTGGTTAGTGTTCGTCTGTCTGTCCTAGTCTGTGTCCTGAGGCCGGGACAGAACTGCATTGTCCAGTTCAAGAGTCCGTAGTCTCGTGTGGCTACTGCGGACTTGAACGTGGTTGGTCCTGCCTGAGTTGTGCTTATAAAATATACCCCGGACTCTGAAGACTCAGTACAAATTAAATGTAAAATAACATGGATGTTTGGTTAAGTAGAATACATTAAAATTAAACTTGCCTGCTTCTTTTACTTTTTTTAATGTGGCTTCTAGAAAATGTAAAATTACCTGTGTGACTTGCAGTATATTTCTTTGGACGGCACTGGACTAAAATAATAGAGTTTAGAAAGATTTCTACTGTTACTATACAGTTGTGATGTATATTCAAGTTATTTAGGAGAATCTCTTGCCAAAACACATGGTTTCCTTGATGGTGAGGGCTACGTGGGGCATTCTTGACCTCAAACTCTGATGGCACTGTTCTCTCTTTAAAAATTTCCTCTTGGAGCCAGAGTTAAAATCTTGGTATTAGGGGGGCGCCTGGGTGGCTTAGTCGGTTAAGCGTCCGACTTTCGCTTAGGTCATGATCTCGCAGTTCGTGGGTTCGAGCCCCGCTTTGGGCTCTGTGCTGACTGCCAGCTCAGAGCCTGGAGCCTGTTTCAGAGTCTGTCACTCCCTCTCTCTCTGACCCTCCCCTGCTCACGCTTGTCTCTCTCTCTTTCCTAGAAATAAATAAAACATTTAAAAAAAAAATCTCGGTATTAGGAAAATAAGTGTTTCTCAGTCTTTCCCATCAGCCCTCATTTTAATTTAAATGAGAAAATATTTACAAAGACTTTATATGACACTGTTCTGTTGTTTTGAAGAAAATCAAAAATGTAATACAGGGATAGAAGGGCTTCTAGAGAGGCAGCACTTGCACATTTGAAATTGTCTTTAAAAAATCATTTATTTCCTAGTGTTTGGTTTTAAGTGCATTTTCTACATAGTCTTTGGAATTGATTTCCTGTTGATCTCTGATACTGTCTTTTTACCTCGCCTTCTAGGAAAACCGACGTTAGCGCCACATACAGCACTTACCAGGATAAATCAGCTTCACCAGCAGAGCAGACACAGTAAATGGTTTCCACACAGTGTATCTTGTGATTCTATTAGAATGTTAAGATGTGCAGTAAAGTCATACAGCCTCTATGGAAAACATACACTTTCCTCAAAAAACTAAAAACCAAACTAACAAATGATTTAGGAGTTCCACTTATGGGTATACATCCAAAGGACACAAACAAACAAAAAACCCGGCAGCTCTCTGTTCTCTGCCTGCAGCATTATTTACAACAGCCACGACACGGATGCCACCCTCACTCCTGGATGGATGCATCGTTAACAAAAACACTGTAGACAAATAGGTGGCATACTATGCAGCTCCAAAAAGGAAGGAAATCTTGGCTGTCGAAGACAAACTGTATGGGCCTACAGGCATTTTGCTAAGGGAAGTCAGTCTAACGAAGAGAGACAAATACTGTATCATCTCACTTATTTGTAGACTCTAAAAAAAAAAACAAAACCCCAAAACCCTGGATACAAATCAGATTGGTGGTGGCTGGAGGGGCAGGGATGGATTTGGCTGAAGGTGGTCAAAAGGGACAAACTTCCAGTTCTAAGACTAACAAGTACTTGATGTAGTTATCATACAGTCTGCTGTCGGTACTGTATTGTATTTTGGAAAGTTGCTGAGCAGGAAGACATTTTTAAAATCGATGTGAACTAAATTTATTGCAATCACTTCATAGTGTATAATTATCAAATCAGGCTGTACACCTTATACACAATGTTACGTGTCCGTTAATAAAATCGGAAGGGGAAAAAAACGGATCTATATAACTTATTCTCTAGATTCCCCCCCCACTTTCATGAATGCAACTGTTAATTAAGCCATAATGGTAGAATTTTAATGTGCTTTGAATGCAGTCACCATCTTTTGATGCTTCCTTGAACCACGTGTGCATTTGCGTATGAACATCTGTCCTGTTTTTCTTAAATAACACTTGCATTTATAGGGCAACTCAGTCCAGTATTCCCAGTACTATTTAGGTGGGGAAGTTCTTTTTTAAAAATAACATTTCCAGGGATGCCTGGGTGGGTCCGGTTAAGCGTCCGACTTCAGCTCGGGCCATGACCTCACGGTTGGTGGGTTCAGGCTCTGTGCTGGCAGCCAGCTCAGAGCCTAGAGCCTGTCTTCAGATTCTGTGTCTCCCTCTCTCTCTGACCCTCCCCTACTCACACTGTCTCTCTGTCTCTTTCAGAAATAAATAACAACATTAAAAGCAAAGACTTCCAGATTTAGAGAACTGTAATGAAAAATAAATTACACTTCATTTGTAAAGAAAGTGACTTTGAAATCTTTTTTGTAAAAAGATTAACGAGAAGTCTTAAGGTTCATTTCCTCAACAACTCTAAAACGTGTTTTACATATTGTTTAGTGTAAAAAGTCTTTCAGATATGTGTGTGCTGCTTTGGCCCCTAACATTAAAAACAGTAACATTGAAAATTGGGATTTTGAACAAATTTGACTTCCTTCACTAAGAATATTATTGGAAAACACTCAAAGTAAACAAAGTCAAATTCTATGTATTTTTTAACTACTTGTAATTTCTTAGTGACTTAAGGAAGCTATAAAGTTTATGGCCTTTGTTCTTCACTTTTCCAAACGTCAGCAAACAGTCTGAGAAATCAGTTAGGAATTCAGAATCCGTTGGAAACTCCTGTATAACTTTAGAGAGAGCTCTTACACTCATAACAGGAATGTCGGCTGGGGGTACAGAGTGAACCTGTGGCCTATAGTTTTCGTTAAGAAGATTCTGTTCCTTAAGAAAATTAGATTCCACTCTAAATTCCAGCAATGGGGGGATTCTCCCCTGCACTTGAATAAGAAGATGTCTAGTTTAAACAACGTCATGTAAAAGTATTGAGTTTGGCAAGAACATCTTGATCCGATAACCTCAGGTTGTGTCAAAATCTTAGATGTTATGTGCATCTCACCTTCTCTGCTAAAAGCCGAGTAAAGATCAAGCCACGTTACTCCAGGAAAGGAAACCGTGTCTGCTGTTGGCCGAACAAAGCAAACAGCTGCGGTAGCCTCTGGGGCTCAGGTGGAACTGACCTTGACCTGAGTCTTCACACCAGGCAGGGTCTCTTTCAGTAAGCCACGGGGCAGAGAGGAGGGATGGCTGCTCAAATTCAGATTACGGTTTTTTTTTTTTTTTAATGTTTTTATTTATTTATTTCTAGGAGAGAGAGAGAGACAGCGTGAGCAGGGGAGGGTCAGAGAGAGAGAGAATCACAGACTCTGAAACAGGCTCCAGGCTCTGAGCTGGCAGTCAGCACAGAGCCCGACGCGGGGCTCGAACCCACGAACGCGAGATCATGACCCAAGCGAAAGTCGGACGCTCAACCGACTAAGCCACCCAGGCACCCCCAGATTACGGTTTTAAAAATTTTGCTTTGCACTTTTGTATTTAGTCGCACAAATTAGACCAAAGAAACGTTGCCTTGAGAAGGATATGATTGGGAATCCTGTTTTATAAGTATTGTTTTACGGATGAAGCAAGTTTATGATGCACTGCAGGTGTTCCCCCCTGAGGGATCTGGTGAGGTACCTGGGGAAGATAGGCTTGAGCAGAAAGAAACAGGAATTCTGAATTAAGTACGGAGTTGAAGTTTTACTGTACCCATTTTCTCATACATTTCAGGGATGTAGTACTTGCTCAGAAGCAAGAGATCGCTGAACTGTTGATTTTTAACAAACTGAATTGACTTTTTCAGCCAAAGATTGTTATGCTATTGTTATGCCGTCTTTCCAAAACAGACTTTTATAGTAGTTTCTGCTTCAAATTTATTTTATTTTTTATATTTATGTGAAATTGCTCCATATATGTAAATACAAATTTTTGTTTTTCAAATAATGGCAATTTTATATATATATATATATATATGTATATATATATATATATATATATGGGAAACCTTAAAATGAAGATTTTCTGTAAGGATGTGGAAAGCAGCATATGTAAAAGTTTGCTAGAACCGCAAGACTGTATTTGCAGTGAAATGAGAAGTCTCGTGTGTGGAAGTCTTTATTGTTCACATTTTGAAAATTGGATCCTCAGATGTAAAAAATAAAGTGTACGATGGGAGAATTTTCATTTGTGATGATGCGTTCATTTCCAGTGTGTTTTAGCTCAAAGCAGAGCATGCTTGTACTTGGGGCCCAACTTCTATAAGCGTTCCACTCCAGCCCCTCACATCTCAGAGCCTTAAGTGTGTCCAGGCTCCCCTCCCAGCTCATCCTGGGCCTCTCCTGCTCAGAGATGTTCAGTCACAGGCGCACAGCATCCAAGGGCAAGGTTATTCGCGTGTACCCTGAAGCTTTCTGCTTAAAATCCCAACTTTTCTTACGAAGACTTCTGCTCTATTTCTTCAAATAACCTATTGCCTGCCAAGCAGACCATCTGCCCCACGTGCTCTGCTGTGTGCCTGGCTCACTGTCGCCTGTAGCACTTCTAGTCCGGTCTGGGTCATGGACCTCTCTTCCCCAAGGCTCAGCTCCTACTGCCCATTTTGTGAAGCTTCTCCTGACTTGCCTAGTTCTCACAGCCTTTGGGATGTTACTGAACATCTGTATCTGTATACCTGTGTCTGGTGGGAGACATACATTCCCCATCCCTTTAGTTCGTGGGTATGATGAAATATTTAAAACCCAAGCCCCAACAACAATGCAAGTATAAAGTTTGATTTGTGTAATAACAGGGTTTGCTTTTGTTTATGCAAAAAGTTTTCTTGGTCTTTTTGCAGATTTGAGTTGAATCAGATTGCTAACTGTCTGAGATAAGGCCTCAGTGTTCTGAACCATGTTGCACCTGGACTCCCTGGGACATCTTTACTGACACCTGGGTCCCACCCCTCTTGGGTTTCTTTTGTAACTGATCTGGGATGTGGCCTGCCTGGGCAAAGGGATTAATCCAGCTTCCCAAGTGATTCTAATATGGAGCTAAGGTTGAGAACGTCTGCATTAGTGATTTATAAAGTGATTTATAAATTTATAATGACAAAAGCTTATATTTACAAAAGAAGATTGGGGTTTAATTCATTCAGCATATTTAATAAATCGGAAAATGTCTAAGGTTTATATCAAGGTCTTGTTGCTCGGCTAACCAAACAAGGCTCTGGTTTAAGAAAAAACGAAAGCAATCTTTACAATATCAACGTTTAAGGTAAATTAGGTTCTCTATAAAAAAAATTAAATTTTATTGGGCCTTAATTTGAAACTACACTCTGATTTTTTTAAATTAGCATAAAATATAAAGAGAGAGTTTAACAAAAAGTCTTCTGTAGGAATCCTGAAGACGGGTAGGGCAAAATATTCTGTTAAAGAATATTCCTGGTTTAAGGAAAATAGGCAGCTCCAGTATTCTAAAATGTAGTAATGCCTGCCAGCTAACTGGCAACCAAGAATGAACTTCCTTGCATATTTTAAACATTTGCATATTTCCACTCAAAAACAGGATATAACATAGTCTACTGATTTCCAGAAATGATGCAAAAGTCGAATGCCTGTGCACAATTTATTTTTATGTTTTAATTTTTTTTTTGGTCCTAAGTGATACTGCTTTCATCATCATTTCGGAAAAGGCTGCACTAAACTGAAGCGGTCAGTCTTTCCACTGCGTGGCACTGCTGCCCTCCTGTGGACTTCCCGGGCATTTGCCGTCCCCAAGTTCTTGCAACTTTTGTCATTATTCCAAGGTTCCAGCCATCCTGTGGTTCCCAGAAGCCGTTTTTAATTTCATTTTGTATCTAGTACTAACTAGGTCTTCTCTGCTTTCCTTCTGTGAAATTACCATTTTAAAAGGGCTAAACTCTGTCCCTTATTGCTTAAGTATGGGAGAAATCAAATACTGGGGTCTGTGGTCAATATTTTTCCTTCCTTCTCACTTATGTACCTGAAGGTAAGTAAACAAATCGCCACAAGTATAGATCGCATGGAGAAAGCTCCCCACTCTGATTCCTGACTTGCTACCCAAGAAAACTTGCATCCGGGTAGTAAAACTGATGTTAGCATAAGCCAGTTCTGTTAACATCATTTATCTCCCTCATGTGGTTTTTAAAAACTTGAACCATTTTATGTGGCAGGTGGTAAGCCTCGTGCGGATCTATGGGAAACAAGCAAGAGCTCTGCCGTCCTGGTGCTTAGGGCTGGTGGCTTCAGTGAGAATCTGGAAACCCCTGTTGTTTAGAAGAGCACTTAGTTATGGTGTTTGGGAAAATGACTGGTCATCTGGTCAACCAGCACCACCTGGAAAGGCTCCTTGGAAAACACCCCTTCAATGTGTATTCAATGCTTAGAAAATTCCTGGTGTAGGACCCCATGGGACTCCTCAATTTAGTGCCTAGATTAAGTCTTTTTGAAATGCAGAATCTGATTCAGTAGGTCCCAGTTGGGGCCAGGGTTCAGCATTACTCTGAGTACTATTTGTGGTAGGGTAATGACCTCCAGAGATTTCAGGGTCCTAAAGCCTGACACCTGTGAATGTCACCTCTCTGGCAGAGGGTTTTTGCAGATGGGATCTTGGGAGGGGCCCTGAATGTAACCACAAGGTTCCCTAGAAGGGAAGGTGGGGGGACCTAACTGCAGCACAAGGCAGCGTGACCCCAAAGCAGAATGCTCCGCTGCTGGCCCTGAAGATAGAGGCAGGGGCCGCAAGCCAAAGGATGCAGCTCTAGAAGCCATAAAAGGCAAGTAAATGGATTTTCCTAGGACTTCCTGGAGGGAGCCTGGCTCTACCAATGCCTTCATTTCAGCCTAGTGTAATGAT